AAAAAATAGAATAAACAAGTAGAACAGAAACAGACTCATAAGACGCAGAGAACATTTTGAAGGTTGCCAGATAAGAGGGGTTTGGGGGGCTAGATTAAAAACATGAGGGATTGAGAAATACAAATTGGTAGTAACAGACCAGTTATAATACAGGATAGAGATGTAAAGTACAGCATAGTGAATACAGTTAACAGTATTGTAATAACTATGTATGGTTCCACAGGGGTACTGGATTTAGCAAAGTGATTATTTTGTAAGTTTTATAAATGTCTAACCACTGGGTGGTACACCTGAAACTAATATAACATTGTATGTCAGCTGTATCTGAAAAGTTAAATTATTTAAAGTAAAAAAAGTTGTAGCCACTGGAAGCACCCAAAGGAAGGGTGCATGCGATGACTATACAGTCTTTAGATGTGAAACCAAGAGCATGATCTATAGAAGAAAGAAATCAAATCAGACTCCACCAAAATTTAAACCTTTGGCTGTGTGAAAGTCCCTGTGGATCTACAATTATTTCAAAGTAAAATGTTTTAAAGGATGTCTCACAGAAAAAAAAAAAAAAAAAAAGGCCAACCATCTGATTGCTTGGTGGCCCCAGCTGGCACGTTCCAGGGGAGGATTGTGAGCCATCATAGAGCACATACAGGAAGTCTAGCAGGTGTAGGAAGTGCTTCTGCAATACTGCTGGTTGATTGGATGCCACCAACCCCTCTCTTAACCACTGGCTGGCAAGCTTAATTCACTCCAGACAAGTGAAAGCTCAGAAAGCCAGTCTCACTGGTGGATGGATTAGCAGCTTGCAGGACGAGGTCATGTGCACTGAATAGGACATCTCACTGAGGCCTCCAGGATGATTTCTGTCGTGCCAAGAAATAGGAGGAAGCTGATCATGAAGAAAAGCTCCTCCTAGGCTTCATATCTTTTTCATAATCTTCCCTCAACCATGTTTATTGATTTTAGAGAAGAAGGGAGAGGGAGAAGCGTGGGTCAGTTGCCTCCTGTAGCGCCCCAAGCGGGGGATCAAACCCACAACCTATGTGTGTGCCCTGATTGGGAGCTGAACCTACAACCTTTTGGTGCACAGGGTGACGCTCCAACCAACTGAGCCATCCCGCCAGGGCAAGGCTTTCTATCTTAAACAGAAAGGAGCAGGTATAACCTTCTGAGTCTAAGGGACTTAGGAGACTGGGTCGTTGAGCCAGCAGTGTTACAGATCCCTTTGTGGGATTCACCATAGAACTCTCTGGAAGGTTTGGCGGAAAGAAATTGCTCATACTTTGGAAAATATGCCTTGACCTCTACAGGTAGATCCACTCTGGTCTTCCTTTTATAGAGATTCTATCCAGAGAAGCCAGACCTGTCATGCTCACCATTTCTTTGGCCGATATGACTTTCTGGGTTGGGGACAAGAAAAAGCAGAAAGGGTCTGCGATCTAAATGTCAGGGGCTTGATCCTTGTTGGCAACACGTGGATTTTCAATATCGAGTTCGAGGACTTCCTGGGACTGTCCAGTAGAGGGAGCCCTGTCCTCTCAAGTGTTAGGAGGTGGGTGAGACTGTGCTGCCGTTGTGGGTGTGTCTGTAAACTTGGGAGCAAATGACCAGCGTGTGGGCAGGTGCCCGGTGGAGACCGCAGGGACCCTGGAGAGGGCCCCGGCCTCTGCAGCCTCAGTGAGCGATTCCTGTTTACTGACCACTGCTCTCAGGAAGCATCCCTTAGAGTGAAACTATCCCCAAATTCAGGCCATCGTTTTAGATAAGTACCCTAAGATGCCTACTCACTTGTAGCTTAACAGCCTGCACAACAGGGCAGTGGATTTGGTCACTTTATTGCTAGGAACATTTTTAATTATCCTAGAAGCCAGATGAATGGGAAATGGTTTTTGCTGAGGTCATTTTATGGCTCTGATGGGTGTCTCCTGGCCTCCACTTTACATTTTTGCAGGCACATATTGTCACGCCTGTCCCACAGAATGTCATTTCTGTGTTGGCGCAAACTGCAAGTCGTTGACATGGGGAAGTCTTTGGTCTTTTCAGCAGAAAACTCCCTGGACCATGTTGACGTTAGTGTGGGGTACCTACCCCACACTAGTTACCCCCCCCATTAGTTAGGGAGGGGTACATACACAACACCCTTCATTCCCAGAAGAACTTCACTAGGGGAAGAGGTTTCTACCCCCATTGGAGATTTTTTCCATTCATTATAGCCCCACATGAATTTCTAAGTTACATAGTATTGATGTTTTTAAACCTCTTGAAGATGCAGTCGGTTGAATTTATCTTGAGGTGAGTTGTAATGATTTACACTTTGAACAGTAGTGTATAAAGATGCCAGTGCCACAACTTTGTTTACATGTGGTGTTCTGTAGGCTTCTATTTTATTCTATGCCAATTTAATAAGTGAAAACTGGGATACTGGACATGGAACATTTTTCAAAGTTGTTTCCTTTTTTTTTTTTTTTTTGGTCATTACCTTTTACGCTTTAGTTACAGGAGTCTTTTTGCTCCATTTTACAATGAAAAGCCTTGCATAAGACGTTTATCTACATTTTAGTGCGTTCAAATAAAGGGGTCTTGCGTTTGTTCCCATCGCTCCTAACCCTGCATTGTCATATCCCCGGATTTCCGTTTTCTGCCTTCTGCTTTCATGATGTCAGCTGTCTTTTCTCAAACAGTTGCATCTGAATACCTGGTCTATTTAATTTCTTTATTTGTACTTAAAAATTTACTGTTACTGTACTTCATCTCACTCCAGTTTAATCCCGTTCAGCTCTTAAGCTCTTGGCGTTACTGGAAAATGCTGTTTGCTTCAGGTCACGTGTCAGACCCAGGAAGGGGAGAGTTGTAAATGACACGCGCGCCTCTCTGTGTCGTGGGTCGCCAGAGTCATCCGGTCGTACTTTCCAGTGTTGGTCCACACAGAGCAACCTGCTCACGCACCCCTGTGCAGATGATCTAGAGAAAACTGTGGAAACAATGGTAGATGAAACAAACAATAGTAGGCCCACGTGGCACTTGACTGGCCCAGCACAGCCTCCCTGGGGGATGGTTCTCAGCTGGGGCTGCGATGCCTCCTTCCCTGGTGGGCCCTTGCTGTTGTCCAAGTCACCGAACATTGAATTCGGGGCGGAAGCGCTGTACTCCATGACCCAACGTGTTTGCAAGAAACTCCCCCTGAATTTCTGGGAAAGCTGGTCACTTGGGCACCTTGGCCACAGATCCCCTGTAGCCCGCCCCCGCCCCCGCCCCCGGGTGGGGCCGGGTCTCCCCGTCGCGGGAACCCACCTCTTGCTATAGAAGCTGTATGCCAGTGGATTGGACTTGGAGAAGGGGTTTCGCCCTGTGCTGTGATGGAAGAGGAAACGAGGGATGTGTGGGCGGTAAAATTATGGGCAGACGGTCCGAAGCAAGTTGTAGCCACAACCCAGGTATTTGAGGTGTGACGTTCCCGATAACACTGCCGCTGCAGGAACGGCAGAACCAGGGCCAGCCACTAGGTGGCAGACGAGTTCCACTGTCACGGGTGACCTGCTCTCTGGAACTTCATCTGTACCCAGAGACACGGGGTTTGGGTTGGGGTTCTTGATCCTATTGGACGGTAGGGGTGGCGGCAGCACTGGTGACCCCCACCCACTTGAAGGGAGCAGGAGCTTCAGAAAGGCCTTGTATCCACCAGGCAGGTGTGGGCGTGAATATCTTTCCCCAAATCACCAGGGATGGTTCGTCCCTCCCACAGCAAACCCTGCACCGCAGAGCACAGACCTTGCCCGCCGACCTCCCCTGCACGTCAGGATTGACCTCCACACCTCCAGGAAGCCCCCTTAGTCCTCCTTGTCGCTAGGCACCCACCACCACCTGCAATCTGCGACATCCCTAGTTTACTGGGGGCTCTTGCTTCCTTCTTCGTGTTATAAACCTGGGTATTTTGCAGGGAGCATGTGTCCATCCCAAGATCAGTGTGTCAATAAAACCCAAATTCCCCTGAGCTACTGGACACCCACCGCGGGCCACGTGGCTGACAAATTGGCCCCTTTGGCCAATTTGTTCAGAAGCCTGCATACCTTATGGTCCTGCAGGTGGGGGGGCCCTCCCTTCCCACAGAACCTCAAGAAATCTTTCTGATTTACATTCACCCTTTATCAACTCAGCGCCAGCTTGAGCCATTGAATTGATCTATGTGAGGGTAAACACCCACCTACAAAACGGAAATAATAAAGCCTGCTCTGAAAGAGTGTGGTGAGGACGACATCGGAAGATGTGTGCAACCCTGTGAAGTTCTACTCTTGGTTTCGTGTGGCTCTTAGGTCTTACCACCCGTCAAAGTCTTTGTGTTGTTAGGAAGGCGTAGCTCTGCCCCTGAAATGCAGTTTCCTTCCTGCGGTGCCTATATCACTGGCAGTAGTCTCGACATTCAAGTTATTCAGAGGGAAAAAAAAAAAAAAAACTTGGCTCCCACCATCTAGAGTAAAAATTAGAATAAAGACAAACACGGCCATGTTATGCTGAAAGTATATTTATATATATAGATATAGATATTTATTTCTCTGCAGACAGCTTTACTGATGAGTCATTTTCACGTTCAAAGAACAGCCTATTTCAATACTACATAATCTGTACCAGAATGAGATGGATAGCTTTTCAATTCATTTCACAAAGCTAGCACAACTCTGATACCAAAACATAACAATTATACCAAAACATAACAATTATAACACAAAACAGAGAATCACAGATCTCACTTAAAAATACAAATGCCAAAATACTCAAGAGAACAGTAGCCAATTGAAATCAACACCACATGAAATGTACAAAGCTTTGGCAGATACAAAACCAAGTTGAAACCCAAATTTACACATACAGAACTGCAACGTAAACACCAGAAACAAAATGTCTCCCCCCACCACACACACACACACACAGACACACACACACACACACACCCTGTCAGTGGCCCTTTGGCCGGGGACATGAAGGACAGAGATATTTGTTAAACCTCCTTAGTGGGGAGGGGGGCTGCTGGGGGGACCCCCGGCTTTATCATCGGGTCCTGGCTCATCTTCCTCCCGATCCTCAGACTCACATTCTGCCAGGGCTTCAAAGTACTGGAACGGCCAGCACTGAGGATCTTTCTTATGGAGCCTGGCCAGGAACCTCAGGACGAGCATCTTGCTGGTTTCGAGGAATGCTCGGGGGCCCCAAAGGAACTCATATTGTGCGGGCTCGGTGTTGGGGACGCGCCTGTACTCTAGGTACTTCTGCCTCACAAACACTTCAGTGATGAGCTTCTTTGTGTTTCCGAAGAGACCGTGGGTCTCCCGGACGTCCACCCCGAGCTTGTACAGGAGGTTAAAGATCAGCTCCTCCCGGACACAATTGCCTTTCATAAAGATGAGGCTCAGGACCACCATCAGGAGGCCGAACTTGGGCGTGTCTAAGTAGGACACGCCTGGCTCCCCCGGGTAGTGCCCCAGCTTGTTGATAATAATGTAAGAGTGGGTTTGGGGGTCAATTTCCTTCAACTGGTAGCCAAAGACACACTCTAGCTTATTGTTGGCACGTTTGATGATCTCCAAGCACTCATCTTTGTATTCACGAATGATGAATTTCACCATCTCTGAGCGCCTGATGGGCACCTTGGCTCGGTCCTTGACCAGGAGAAACTGCACCAAAGCATTGGCTCTCTCATCCAAGGGAGACAGTGGCTGCGTCTCCAACTTGGGGTCGCTCTGGGTGGTACCGAAGCCCAGAGAGAGCCCGGGGAGCTCAGAGATGATCAAAGGCTGAGGGCTGCCTACGTTTTCCCAGAGACCCAGGGCCCTGGAGGTGCTGGGACCCTCCCAGGCACTCAGGGCCCAGGAGGTGCCGGGACCCTCCCAGCCACTAAGGATCCTGGAGGTACTAGGGCCCTCCCAGCCGCTCAGGCCGTAGGAGGTATTTGGGTCCTGCCAATCACCCAGGACCTGGAAAGGGTTTTGAACCTGCCAGTCATTCAAGTTCAGGTTATCCCAGGGCCTTGGGGCCTGCCAGTCAAGCAGGCCCAGCATCTGGCCACTGTTGTCCTCTTCGGTGTTCAGGTGCTTCTTCTTACGGGTGGCTTTGCCCGAGCGACGCGGCGGCTCATCGGGGGTCTTCGAGGCCTCTTGAGTGGTGGCCATGGCCTGGGGGGCAGCCGCTGTGGCCATCAGCATGGTGGGCGCTGCCTTGGACCCCCTGGGTGTGCTCGCGTTCGGCTGCGGCACCCACGGGACAGCCGGCAGGGCCTCGACGTAGGCAAAGGGATCCTTCGGAGCGAGTGGCAGTGACTTCGGGGTCTCCAAGATGGCAGGCGGGCCGGTGAAGGCGTTCGAAGAGGCAGGCTGGAGCTGGGAGGTAGCAGGAAAGCCCCTGGCGGCGGCAGTGTAGGTCTCCGGTGTGGTAGGCAAGTTTTTCCAGGCAGTGGGCAGGTGTGCTCGGGCAGCTGAGGCGGCCTTGGGGGCACAGAAAGTGGCGGCAAAGATCATGCGGTCCTTGGAAGGAGCCCTGCGCTCCTTGGACGAGGTTCTGCGCTCCTTGGACGAGGTCCTGCGGTCTATTGAGGAGGCTCTGGGTTCTCCTGATGGAGTCATCAGTGATTTAGCAGAGCCCATGGGAAAATTTGCCGCCGCTAAGGGCGCTCCAGGCTGGCCCTGCAAGGCGGCAGGGGGTCCCTGCCAGGGGGGCTGGAGTTGTAAGGCCGGCAGCTCTGCTTGCGGGCCCGCGGGCTGGGCCGGCTGGGCGGGTAGCTGGATCTGCAGAGCCTTTTGGGAGGCCGGGACCCCCTGAAAGGGCTGCTCTACCTGGACCAGCGGTGGGCCCTGCCTCTGAGCCTCCTGGGCGGGCAGGGGCTGCCAGAAGTGCCCGGGGGCCTTGGGGGTCTGCCAGGCCAGCGCCTGGGCTTGCGGCACCTCCTGGAACTCCATCGACGTGGGCATCTCCTGCGGCACGGGCGCCTGGCCTTTGGGGGCCTGCCAGATGATAGGCGGGCAGTGTACGGCCTGCGGCGCCGACAGAGGGGCCGACAGCGCGGCCGACAGCGCGGCCTGGGGCACCTGCGGACCAGCGAGAGGCGCTGTGGGCACCTGCGTTGCTGGAGGGACCGTGGGCACCTGCGGGGCCACAGGCACCTGCGGGGGCGCCCGCACCTGCGGGGGCGCCCGCACCTGCGGGGCCGCTCGCATCTGGGGGGCTGCCCGCAGCTGCGGGGTGGGCAGCCGAGCCTGAGGGGCCTGCCGCAGAGGTGGTGGGGGCGGCAGGGCCTGCCAGAGTGGAGGTGGCGTGGTCAGCACCTGTGGGGCAGGCCGGATGGGCGGCGGCGACTGACGGATCAGCGGCGGTGCCTGGCGGATCGGGGGCGGCCCCTGGCGCACCGGCGGGGGCCCCGGTCGGATAGGTGGTGGGCCTGGGCGGATCGGGGGCGGCCCCTGGCGCACGGGCGGCTGCGCCTGCCAGGCAATGGTCGGAGCCTGCCAGGTGACCTGTGTGGCCTGCCAGGCCAGGGGCGTGGCCTGCCAGGCTTGTGCTGGGGCCTGCCAGCCCGGCGAGGTGGCCTGCCAGCCCGGGGGTGTGGCCATCTGGGCTGGCGCGGCCTGCGGGCTCTGGGGAACCTGCGGAGGAGCCCTTATAACCTGGGACTGGATTTGCAGAATCAGAGGCTGAGCCTGTGGGGCCCAGGAAGCCAGAGGCTGCGCAGGTGGAGCTGCCGGCTGTGCCATCGGGGCCGGTGAGGCTGCAGGCTGGTTGATCGGAGCTCTGGACCCCGAAGGGTGGATCATCAGGACGCCGGGCCCTGGAGGCTTGGCCAGCGCGGCTCCCGGAGGCGGAGGCTGTGCTATCAAGGCTGCCGGGGGTGGAGGCTGGGCCATCGCGGCTCCCGGAGCGGTAGGCTGGACCATCAGGACCCCCGGAGTCAGCGGCTGAGCCATGAGGACTCCCGGAGCTGGAGGCTGGGCCATCGGTGTCCCCGGAGGGGCAGGATGGGCCATCGGCGTCCCCGGAGGGGCAGGATGTGCCATCGGCGTCCCCGGAGGGGCAGGATGGGCCATCGGCGTCCCCGGAGGGGGAGGATGAGCCATCGGCGTCCCCGGAGGGGGTGGGTGCACCATCGGGGTCCCCGGAGGGGGAGGATGCGCCATCGGGGTCCCCGGAGGAGCAGGATGGGCCATCGGGGTCCCCGGAGGAGCAGGATGGGCCAGGGGGCCTCCGGGAGCCGAAGGGTGCATCATCAGGACCCCCGGAGTCGGAGGCTGTGGTATCGGGGCTCCCGGAGGGGGAGGATGTATCATCAGGACCCCGGGAGTCGGGGGCTTGCCCATCGGCCCTCCCAGAGGGGGAGCCTGGACCAGCGGGGCCCCCAGGGCCGGAGGCTGGGCCATGGCAGCCACGGGGGCGGGCGGCTGGCCCTGCGGGCCCTCCCAGGCAGGTTGCGGCGCCTGCCAAGCGGCCAGTGAAGCCTGCAAATCAATCGGAGGTGGGTCCCAGGGGACCGGCGGAGCCCGGGAGGAGGCGGGCGGCGCCCGCATCAGAACCGTAGGGCGGCTATAGACCGGGGGCTTGGGAGCCTCCGCCGGGGGACTGGAATCACCCAGATTCTTACTTAGCTGCGACATGTCCGTTCGCTCTGACAGCCGATGGGCCTCACCCTCCGACAGCTGCTGGGCCTTTTCCTCCAGAGAGAAGAGAATGCCTACGTGGCCGAGCAGAGGATCCCTCCCTGCTGACTGGTGAATAGGAAGTCGGTGCCTTTAGCTCTGCAGCTTTCCGCAGTGAGGAGGAGGGGGGAAGGGGGCTCAATCCCGCCCCTTCCCCGCCCCCGACCACCACAAGTGGATCTTGCACGGGGGCGTCTACCGGGAGCCCTGGCTGACACAAGATACCTCCTCCCTCCGTCCCGTCCCCGCACGCAGCCCGGTCGGACTGTCCAGGGATGAGCTGTCACAGAGGGGGTGACAGGCGCGCGCGTGGGCCCTGGAAACCCCCCGGCCCGTGGTGCCGAGTGGGAGCGGACCACCGCGAACATGGGGGCATCCGTGGGAGGGGGAGCGGCGCGCTCTGAGCTCAGAGGCAGCGCAGCCGCAGGATGCAAGACGTGTGTGTCTGAGGTTCAGGGGTCATCCTGGGCAGCTATTAGTTAACACGAGGGTGAAAAAGGTCAAGGAGGCGTAGAAGCCTGTGCCGGGAGAGGGGGGATAGCCGGTGGCGCTTATTCTCTTAGGAACGCAGTGGGATGCACATGGGAAGAGAGATTGATGAGGATCGATCAGGACCCGGGCATCTTGAGCGCCGCGCGGCTGCCAGGAGAGGTGTCCGGTAGACACAGCCGTGTGCTCGCTCGGGGCTCGGAAGGAGGCGCGGGCAGGAGTCAGGTGCCCCCCTCAGTACAGCAGCCCTGGCAGGGGGTGCGGCTCCAAAGACGACTGTTCAGTGTGGAACTCCTGAGCTGTGTCTTGAGGGACACAGGCATTTTTAGGCAGGGGCAGAGCCGACAGAGAAGGAAAGACATGCTGGAGATTCGGATGTTGCAGAAATCGAGGGAAGGCAGCGTTTTTAGGACGAGGGAGGGGGGTAAATCCCGGGCAACAGACCGGATCAAATGGCTGGTGCCTCGGAGCTTTTCATCTGTTGCAGAGCAGGAGGGAACTGTAAGACTGAAAACTCAGAAATACACTAGAAAAATGATGAAGCGGGTGAAGAAACAGGTCCCAGGTTAATAGATAGGAAAAACACATAAAGAACAAAATACAGAACGTGGCGGTAACCTCGTAAAGAAAATCAGTTTAAAATTTAAGTGATGAATGAAAAGATAAAGCAAGAAGACATAACCATTCATTGGTAACACTCTACTACTTCACGCTGGAAGGAAAGACCATCTCAGTTCTCCTTGGAGAGTTTTCTGGAAATTGACAATATACTAAATATCAAGAGAGCTTAGTTTAAAAGAGGGTGTTTGCAGTTGAGGGCAAGAGTCCAGGGTGACAAAAAAAAAAAAAAAAACAACATGAAAATGCCACAAGGGGGCATAAGAGAATGGCCGAGGCCATACCCCACTCCTCTGCTCTCCCTCCAAGGAGCCCTTGGCCAGGGTTTCTCAAATTTGGCCCTTTCTGAATCCCAATGAAAGCAGGTACACACTGCCAAAGTGGCCATTGCCTTGAGAAATGAGAGAATAGTTCGGGAATATGAGGTCTCGGGTTTTTCTGACAATCAAAAGGATCAGAAATCAGAGCTGTCATGGCCCGGGCTGCCGTGGCGCCTGACAGATGTCACAGATATACACCATCCCCTGAAAGATGCTTCCACAGAAAGGATACTGCTGTGCTTCGCGATGAGTCTTGTGGACTCACCTTCAGTCCGTAGACTTCGCCATTGGATCGCGGGTTAGAACCACTTCAGCGAGGTCAATGCTGGACGTAACGTTCATGCTCCCCTGCCCCCCACCTCGTGACAGCCCCCGGATGTGGTGGCTTTGGGACAGTCAGTTCACGTTTCCAAGTCCGTGTCAGCCTATGACGTTTCTACTCTCTTGAAAGCATACTTTTTTCCCCCTCCTCTAACTCAAATATGTAAATCACCCAGAAATTCCGTTCTGCTAACTATTTCTTTTTTCAGGATTGTGGCAAATTGCACCTCCAGGGCACTCTGACTCTGGGTCAGCTTACAGAATAAGTGGCGACCAGTCAGCCCCCGCTCTTTGCTCTTTTCTCGGATGTTTGAGCTCAGTATAGCATTGCTACCTGGTGTCAATTCCCCTCAAAGCCATCGTGTGGGAGCAGGTCTTGTTGACACCTACGGGCAGTACAGGAGCCAAAAAGGAAGTATCAGGAATTGTGGAGGGGAGAAAGAAACCTGATGTAGGTGCCATTGGAAATGGTCAAGTCACACTTGGTAACGTTCTTAAACTAGCGAAGGGAAATTGGGGAACGATTATTCATCTCACTCTGGTTGGGCCTGTAATTGTGGGTGAATTGGGTGTTTTCTTCTCTAGCAAATACACCTGCCTATTCTAGATAATCGGCGCTCTCATGCCCAGGCCACCTGACCTCCCAGCTACTCCCAAATTACTGACTCTCAACGTGAAATACACCTGAGGAACCAAGTGACACATGGTCCCTTAGTGAAGATCAGCTGCTCTAATACCAGCACAACCCAATGCTCTCTTAGTCCAGTGGGGAATTTGGATCACAGATTTTTAAATAGGTCTCCCAAAGTCCCTTCTCCTTGTTGAATCTTGTTTTCTGAAGCCCCCACCACTCTTCTTAAACATTTTTATTTATTCCTAAAGAGAGCAAGAGGAAGGGAGGGAAAGAAAAAGGGGGAGAGACATCCATTTGTTTTTCACGTATTGGTGTGTTCCTTGGTTGATTCTTGTCCTTGCCCTGGCCGGAGATGGGACCCACAACCTTGGCGCATCAGGACAATGTTCCAACCAGCTAAGCTACTGGGCAAGGTCACCCTCCCGCCCCCAACACTCTTGTGTATATGGTCTTTGTACTCCAGATGCCAAAGTCCCTGTTCTCCGTGAAACAGCTTAACAATCCAAGGTGAGTAGCAAACATACACAAAATACCCATGGAATGTATGTGTCTGTTTGTCTTCTGATTAGAAAGGACTTTGTTATTTGCATAAGGATATAACAAAAGTAAGGGAAAAAATTGGGGAGAGGAGAACTGAGGATGAGCAAGTAGGAAAATCATTGAGCTAAGTATAGGGAGAATTGGTGCATTTATTTATTATCTGTATCATCACCAGAAGGGGTTCTCCGTGCAGACTGGGGCCTTGTTTTTCTCACCTGTGTATCCCCAGCTCATCCTGAGTGGTCAGTAAGGAGCTGTGGAATAAAAGTGTAAAATCAGCACCAGAATTGCCTGCCTTTCACCTCTCTGTTGTCGTTAGACCTGGTGTACATATTTCTTTTTTAAGTTAATTTGAGAAAGAAAGAGAGAGAGAGAGAGAGAGAGACATCAACTTGCTCTTCCACTCATCAGTGCCTTCATCAGTTGCTTCCTGCATGTGCCCTGACCAGGGATCAGACACACAACCTTGGCATATCAGGATGACGCTCTAACCAGCTGAGCTTCCCCAGCCATAGCTGGTGTACATATTTAGAAGTGAGTAAAATAATCAGTTACAATTTTCAAAAAGTCCAAAATTGGTTATTTGTGAAATGCCTTTTTTAGGCATTTATTTTATACCTAACATCATGCTCTGTGTAGAGCTACAGAGAAACATCAGACACCAGATGTTATAGACATACACAGCATTAATGTGGTATTTTTAATGCAATGAGGTGTTATTGTTTGCATTGTTTAAAACTCATGTCAGTCCCAGTTGATGCAAATAACTGAATACTCCCTTCTGTTTGGAGTTGGGGGGCAGGTACTGGTTGTAGCAAAGCAAAGAAAAAATAACAATCCTAAAGATGTAGAGATTCATGAGTATTCTCCAAATAGACTGAGCACTAAAAGAGAAATAAAAAACCTACAGAATATACCAGAAGCACATGGCATTTGAAAAAACTGCAAGGAGTTTCTTAAATAGCGTAACTACTATTTATTGAATGGTTGTTATTTGATCAAATCCCATCCTGAAAGGTTTACAAACATTGTACACGCCTCACGAAATCCGCAGGTGTTCGGCCCCGTTTTACATGTCAAGGAACTGAGGCCGAGGGTGGTGATTAACTTGTCGCAGAGCTGGCGGCCGCAAACTGGAACTGAGGCCTGGCATGAGGGTTGCCAAGAGCCGGCATCCTTAACCATGACGCCAGGCCTGCCAAAATCTTCTAAAATTGTTAGATATAATTAACATACAATGACATGCATAGATCTCCATTATCCTGTTTAATGAGCTTTGTCACTGCGTTCCCATCTCAAAACAAGATAAAGAACATTTTCTTGTTCTTTATCCAAAATACCCAAAACACTAATTTGAAAAAGACACATGCACTCCTATTTTCACTGCAGCGTTATTTACAATAGCTAAGAAGATATGGGCATAATCTAAGTGCCCATCAATAAACAAGGGAGTGAAGAAGATATGGAGTATTACAGTGAAGATACAATGGAATATTGCTCGGCCATAAAAAAGGATGAAATCTTATCCTTTGCGACGGCGTGAAAAGACCTGGAGGGCGTTATGCTAAGTGAAACAAGTCAGACAGAGGAAGATGAATACCATGTGATTTCGCTTATATGTGGGATGTACAAAGTCACATAAATGAACAAAATAGAAACTCAAATATACAGAGGACATTTTGATGGTTGCCAGATGGGCGGGAGTTTGGGGCCCCGGGTGAAAAGGGGAAGGAGTAAGAAGTACAAATGGCCAGTTATAAAAACAGTCGCTGGGATATAAAGTACAGCCCAGGGAACAGAGGCAATATTTTCAGAACTATGTATGGGGCCAGGTGGGTACTAACCTCATCGGGGCAATCACTTCGTAAGTTATAGAAATCACTACTCACTATGTTGTGCACCTGAAATTTACATAATAATGATGTGTTAACTAATTGAACATTTTCAAGTATTTAAATTACAAAAAGGAACATTATCAAATAAAAGCTCTGTCCTTTTCCAGTAAATTCTTCTACCTCCAAAGGCAACCACTTTTG